TTGGTAAAAATTACTTGATTGTCATTTGATAATTAGATATACTGTAAATCTACGACATATAATATTCCACTGTTTGTATTGTGCTTTAATATTTTTTTAATTTATGATTTAATTTTATCAATAGTTTTATAATTATATTTTACTTTTATTAAGATAAATAAATTAAAATTACTCACTTTATAAAAAATTATATTTGATATATTATATTAAATAATTTATGGATCTATTATTAATAATTATAATACATTACACTTCTGTCTTAAGACTTATCTTTGGCTTATATTCCATTTATTAAAAAACATTTTTGGTTCATTTTATATATTTATAAATTTATTTTCCCAAAAATCTATAAATTATGATGAATAGTTTTATAAAAAAAATATCAACTTTTACATTCTATCTTTTAAATTATTATTTAAGATATATGCATACATATTTGAGGGTCAGGGAGTCGGGGGAGGACTAAGAGGGATATTTTTTATTAGCTAAATATGATATTTACAAAAAGTGATAAATTCCTGAAGGGAGGTGGGAATTTCCCCTTGCCCCCCCCCCTGGCTACGCCTATGGATGAAGAACATAACATACACATATAATAAGAATAAATATTTACTTTAATTAATAAAATATTTAATGACGAGTTAATTATAATAATCAAACATTTTATTATTTGTTTTAGCTCCTGCATATCATAGATAGGAAAAGGAGACAGTATAGGGTAAAATATTGATTTGCAAAAGAGTATTTAAAATAGATTAAATGGAATCTTTATTTTTAGGATTATCAATTTATCAAAGAATTTATTATTATTGTCGTTAACCATTTTGTCTACCTCTCACCTGCAGCTAATGAAGTTAATGCGGTATTATGTTTAAAGAATCCTTAATGGAAAGTTAATAATTAACCATTTCAAATGTATTTAGAAGGTCTTTATTATAAGAAAACTTCCAGCTCAATGTTATTTGTATTATTGAACTCAGCAAGTTTCACCAAAAGAAAAATTAAAATTTGGGATGTTGTTATTTTTTATCGATCTCTATCTTAATGTAGTCGTAAATATGTCAATATATTTAAAATATGTTTGAAATAATAAAGAAATTAATACAAGATTCCTTAAAGAAAATAAGGTTATATTCTGTGATATGTAAATTTTGTAAACATGAATATTAAAAAGAATCTGTATCATTTGTCAAGAAAATGATAAAGAATCTTAGACAAGATATAAAAATATCTTGTATCTTAGATACAAGTATTCGCAGTACTGTCTAACTCTGCAAATGTATTCTTAAATTATATTATTGAATATAAATTGAAGCGTTCTAATAGTTAATATATTATGTAATATTCAACTTCTTTATTAATTATTGGACGTTTGTCCTACTTAAATAGGGAGTGATTCTTAATAATATTAATTGACTATTATCAGGTAAAATAATTGACTATATAATGTCACAGTTGTGACTGTGACTGTGACAAGCCTTTTATTATATAAGATTAAATCGTAGTAATGGATTTGCTACAATTTTTAACACACTAATATTATTATTTCGCCGTTTATATAATGTGAAAATTAAGTTTTACCATGGCTAATCGGTAAAAGACTAATATTTTAAGGAGCATCTGGTATGGATTCAGAAGGAAACAGGCCGGATTATATTCTGACAAAGGTAATTTTCTAAATATTAAATATGTATTGCGGTGGAGGTGGGCTAAGAGGTGTTCAACCTCCTCCCCTAATTTTTTATGTGCCCAGTCCCTTCCAATTAAGAGGCTAAGAACTCGTAACTAAAAAAATTTAATATTTTTTTAAAAGTGTTAAATTTGAATCCCTTTCTTTATTAATATAAATATTAAAATTTTTTCAAGTCAAAAATATATTTTTTTTTCAGCTAAACGGTACCTCTATATCATAGAAGATAGAAAAGCAAAAATATTTATTTTATATTTTGTTATTAGCAAAAATAAAAATTTCCCCATTTTAACAATTTTTTTATGGAATTAGAAAAAAATTTAAGGATAATAAAAATGGTAAAAATTTTTTTTTAATCATAATAAAACTTAAATAAAGGCTAATAATGATTGGAATAAAAATAAATACAATTATCGACGGTGATAACAGATTTTTATTTTTACTTTATTTTAGTGGCGCCGATTATACGGGGACGGCGGGGTTCTCGATCCATTGAAATATTCTATAAAATGATATTATTGATCCATCAATTTTCTTCCAAAAAAATTCACAACCACCATAGAATTTTCTTTTATATAAGTGTGGAACATTACTAGCAAGAAGTAGTGATAAATGATTGCATTTTAGCAGGTTTTGAACCAACTCTAAAACTACTAAATTAAATTTTGGTTATTAGATTTTTGCCATATTTAATGTTATAGATATATAAAATGTTTTCTAAATGATGTATGATCAGGGTTGTTAGGTTCCCATTTCCCCATCAGCTTGGGTCACCTGCATATGTTAGTAATGCCTGAATCAAAAGGCGTATTCTTGAAGTTTCGAAAAGTAACCATCCAATTGCCATTTTTACTGACTAATAAAGGAAATTTTAAAACATTTCCCTTAATCCTTTGATATTTTAACCTAAATAAGAAAATTTCTGTAAAACTATTTTTAAAATCTTTCTCAGATTAAAAAATCAAGATATATTATTGAAAAATATATCAGATTGATGTCAACTTTAGGTGCTTATAATGTTTCAGCGAATTTTTGCGGGAAATCAAAGTGTTGTTATCGAATTGAAGCAGAACAATGCCGACCTAATACAGATTGGTTGCATTTGTCATATTTCAAACATTTCTTGTATAAAGGCCATGAATGAATTATCCTTTGACGTTGAACTATTGTTATGAAGTGTTTTAATGAATTTATTTCATCTACTAAGCGAATTATAGGATCAAGACTTGGTTGAGTGGTATGATTTGAAATGGTGAGAATTGTTATGCCTTATCCCTAATAGCTAGAGCTATTGGAATTTTTTTTATCAACTTTAAAAAAATATTTTTTAAAACACAAATTATAAAATTTGTCCTATGATTTTGAAATTTTAATTTAAAAATGAATTGGGGGAAGAATATTTAAGCTTAGTTTCACATGTGGAGTTTGCTACATATTTTTAATATGGAACTGGAATATGAAAATTTGATTCTATAAGAATTAATAAAATAATGGTACAACCATGTTCATATTCACAAAAATAGATAATAAATTTTATAGCTATATAGCTAAAAATGCCAGTTAATTGTGTATATGCAACCCTAATTGATTATTTTTAAACGAAGCTGATTATTTATTAAAATTTGATTTTTACATAAAAACATTGATATTATGACGCTATCAATTGATGGATTTTATAATTTAATAAATATAATGAAAAATACAAACAGATATTGATATCTTGGAGGTGATTGTTATACTCTCTATTTTTTTTTATAATTCTCGGGAATATTTAAAATTAGATGGTATTAAAGAAGAGGAGTGCTTGGTAATAATATGCGAACATGTATTTTACTTAAATCATTCGAATGCCTAGTCAGAGAGACTTTTTAGCCTGATACGGACTGCCTGGAGAAAAGAGAGAAATAGGTTTACTCTGATAACATTAGAGACCGAATTTATGATTAAACAAAATTATAATGTCCTGCAATCAATTTTACAAATTTTTTTTAATAACGACGGAAAAAGTTTAATTCCGAAATTTAAATCAAAAAATGGAATATAATTAACATTATTATAAATACAAAACTATTTATATATAGAGAGACCTGCAGTCTGGACCTAAGTCCGAAAGTACACGGGCTGGGCCGTATTTTATTTTTTTAAAATAAACCCGGGCCGGGCTGTATATTTTAAAACCAAATATTTGGAATAGTCATTATTAGCTATAAAGATCATAAATAAATATAAATTAAAAAAAATAGGGCCGAATCTAAAAATATAAAACCCGGGCGGGACAGAAAAAAATTGTTGCAAAAAATCCGGGCTTGGCCGTGCAAATGGTACCTTTGTAGGTCTATATATATTACTCGCATAAAAATTATCCATTTAAGCAATTTTTCTATATTGGAGAAAATGAGATGGTTTGTTTACAAAATTGATATATTTTCAATAGATTTATAAATAAAATGTCTCATTTTATAAAATAAATATGGTCTACTACAGGAGTTACTTTTATATAATAAATATAAAACAAATCCACAATATAAGAATAAAATTTTACCAATTTTGAAAAAATATAATTAAAACGATACTGATTTTGTGAGGTTTTAAAAAATGATAAAGTAGTAATTAAGGGAGTAAAAAGGAGTCAAATATTCCATAGTTAACCTGACAATACCAATGGTCCTCAAATTCAAAATTTTGACCTGGCAACCCTGTTTATGATGAAGGCCAAAGGTGCATTTGGCCCCAGTGGCTCTTATATCCCATTAAGCTTCTTAGGCAAAATAACATCTTCTTGATAAATATGAAAGCAACAACTTTCCCTTTTTTTTCCTTACTCCTCTTTTTTTAAAAGTGAGATTTTATACCCTTTAGCTTAATTAGTAGAGAATACCATTAAATTAAAATTTTCTTGGTGTTATTACAAATATGTTATACCATCATCCCTTATATTATAATAGAGAAAATTGATTTATTAATAACCAATATTTTTTTTTGCTTGATATTTCTAGACATCGTTTTAATTTGATAAGAAAGTAAACTAGATGTAACAAAATGCCTTAAGAAATTCTTGACTTTTTCTTCTTCTTACTTAAATAATGAACTAATAGTTCAAAGATCTGTTTTGTAAATTTGAAATAGGAAAGCAAAATTTATTCTATTCATTAAGTAAAAAAATTTAGTTTTTGTTAAAATCCATTCCCTAAACTTTTAATAAAAAAAAATACGAAAAAGGGTATCTTAATATATAGTTTGATACAATTGCTCCTTGAACTAATGTCCCATTCGCGCAAATTTAACGAATATTTTCTTTTTACCCCTGCCGTTGGAGGAACATCATTTATTAACTTTTTAGATATAAGTCCAGGCCATAATGTCTGTCTCACAGTAATGAGTTAGTCGAGCTTAAAAGGTTAGTAAAATTGGCAGGCGAACATATATTTTTTTAAAAATAAATTTAGATAATAATAATAATAAAAAAGTTATGAAAAATTAAAATACAATTTTTTTTATTTAGCTATAAATTTATAACGCGAAATTAGTTTACATATTTACAGACATGACAATTATTTTTGTACAAACACCACCGCGTTGAATCACAATGTGTCCGATCATCGATGAATATAAGAAATGGTATGTTCTACTTTTTTTTCTTCAGAGTTCTAAAGCAATCAATTTAGCGCGAGCATCTTCGGAACAGGTTGCTATATATTTCCCATCACTAGAAACCACAAAGTCCAATATATCGAGGTCATGGGGTCTAAACTGTTTTAACGACGCTCCAGTTCTGCTGTCCCATAGATATATATAGCCTTCTAAATGAGCCGATATTATTATGTGAGCCAGGTTTGGTTCTTCGGAGAGCCATTGAGCTTTAGTAACGCCGGACTATTAAATATCGAAATATAAAATAAAAATTTCCTCCAAGCCCCCTGATACGATTTAAAAAAAATAAATTCCAATGTCAAATCATATCAACCCAACCATTTTAATTAGATAAATTAAATCCTCATAAATCCAATTTAGCCAGGCACATTAGGTTCCTGAGATATCAGTGGACACGAATGCCAAAATTAGACAAAAAAATGAATGACATCGTTTTAAACGATATCATTATTTAGCCCTATACTGTAAGGTAAATCCTTCTACGTCAAGGGTGCTATTTTCATTTTCGGTGCAAATGTTGACATGGAACGTCGAGAATTCAGAGCGCTTTGAAAAATGAATTTTTAAATAAATGAATATATTAATTTAGTCGCATTTTAAAAGTGGCGAACTGTAGGACATTTTGCTTATGAGACAGAGAAAATATTTCGACATCTAAGATTGTTTGGAAGAAATAAATATTAATTTTTAAAAACTTATTTAAACTGATATATATTATATTTATAAATACATTCCCGACAGAATATCTTTTAATGATCTTGTTATTAAAAAAAATAAAATTTAATACATTTTATTAATACCAATTATTTTATAATTCATCATGTAAGTACTATAGTTTTCAATCCTTATTATTGTAAATCCTACATTGGAATTAAACGAACCTAGGTATATTAATAATAATAATAAATATAACTAAGTTAATCATATTGGCCAGTGATTTTTTTTTATTGATAATGATTGTAATATCATTTATTGTTAACCTCGACCATCTTCTATCGCGAAATTGGGCAAATATATAATGCTAAAGAGAGTTCACTTTTTTTTAGAATGGTATCTTTAATATCTTGTCGAACAAGGAAGGAGTGCAGCGGTAAATGCAAAGATGAATAACCCACAAATATATGATTGACATGTATAAGGGTTAAAGTATATTAATAGTTTGATCATTAAGGTTCTATGAATAGAGTTTACTATTGATGAAATAAAAAAGATACTGGAAAGGCCTTGGATAAAGTTTTGGAATCATTTGCCCATATTTTATTTACAAAGATTTAAGGCCGGGTCGAATGAAAATACTGACAATATTATTAGTCTGTGCGAGGACTAAGGAAATTAATTATGAAAGTGACTGACCGACTTGACACTACTAGCCCCAAGTGCAAATAAGTTATTATTGATGTTTGTTGAAAAGAGATTGTCGACGGAAATTTAACCAGAAATTTCCTTGAGCCAAAGTTCGAAAGTTAAATGGAGATTTAGCGGATCATAATGAGCCTAATATTTATTTAAATGCTATATATAACGTAAAATATTCCAAATATGCCCGATTTCATATGTTTAAGATATAAAATATATAATATTTCACCTATCATGCCATACTGGTCTTTAAAATATAATAGCTGCAAATACAAATTGGACATGTTTTTGGTCAAAAAAAAAATAATGAAATTACAAACCATGTAATACGAATAGTTTTTTAAAGGGAACCCGGCTGAAAGGCATAGAAAAAGGGAGAGTAATTTGGTCACGAAGGCGAAGCATTACCGCTCTACCAGTATCTTCTGTGATATTTTGAATAAATAGACTTTGTTTTGTTAGTAAAATAATAGGAATAAACAAAGAAGAGGAAACCAAAGGATAAAAATTAAAATTACATTGATAAGTGTTAATCTCCTAAATTATCGCATCACGGCTAAAGATGCCTCGAATATCGATGCATGGAATAGGGCCTCGGTTTTATTTTGTAGGTTTTCGGAATCACGGACTTGGGGATCCTACTGTGGCGCTAGAGGTGAAATTCTTGGATAGCCTAAAGAAGAACTGCTGAGAAAGCATTTGCCAAGAATGTTTTCATTAATCAAGAACGAAGGTCAGAGGTTAGAAGGCGATCAGATATCGCCGTAGTTCTGACCATAAATAATGCCGACCGGCGATCCGTCGCGGTACTTTTTAAACACCCGACGGGCAGCCTTCGGGAAACCAAATATTTTGGGTTACGGGAAGAAGTATGGTTGCAAAGTTGAAACTTAAAAGAATTGACGGAAGGGCACCATCAGGAATGGAGCCTGTGGCTTAATTTGACTCAACACGGGAAAACTCACCCGGTCAGGAAACTGTAAGGATTGACAGATTGATAGCTCTTTCACGATTCAGTGGGTGGTGGTGCATGGCCGTTCTTTGGTGGAATGATTTGTCTTGTTAATTCCGAAAACGAACGAAACTCTAACCTACTTACTAGGACTTCGATAATTTTTTTTTCGTCAACAAAGCTTCTTAGAGAGATAGGCGAGATATTTTCAGTCGCATGTGATTGAGCAATAATAGGTCTCTGGCCCTTAGATGTCAGGGCTGGATGCGCGCTATACTGAGAATCGGCGTGATTATCTACCTGGTCCGAAAGGATTTTGTGGGTAATCCAGTGACCTAGCCGAGTGAGTTTTCCCGTGTTTAGTCAAATTAAGCCGCAGGCTTCACTTCTGGTGGCGTCCTTCCGTCACTTCCTTCAAGTTTTAGCTTTGCGACCATACTTCTCCCGGAACCCCAAAAACGTTAGTTATTTAGAAAAATGTATTCTCTTTTAATGCTTATAACAAATGTTTTACTGTTTTACTTATATTGGATAAAAAAGAGGTATAAATGGTAAATGTTAAAGAAAAGTAATATATATATATTCATTGAAATTAAAATATTTTGTCTTTCATTAAGTCAAGTTTTTTTTTTCATGCAGTACCCAAAAGTCATTTAATAAATACTAATGACCTGTAGGACCTGCAAATTGATTTAAATATCCATAACATTAAAATCCCATTTTTAACAATAGTAAGCTCATAAATAGCTACTAGAAGCATCCACACACTCTCACTCAAGACAAAATTTTGAAGGCTATAAAAAAATTAAATATTAATTTATAAAAATATGGGTTTTTTAACAATAGTAAGCTCATAAATAGCTACTAGATGCATCCACGCACTCTCACTCAAGACAAAATTTTGAAGGCTATAAAAAAATTAATTATTAACTTATAAAAATATGGGTTTTTTAACAAAAGTAAGCTCATAAATAGCTACTAAATGCAACCGCACACTCTCACTCAAGACAAAATTTTGAAGGCTCTAAAAAAATTAAATATTAACTTAAAAAAATATGGTTTTAAATTAATTATTACATTATGTAGACAATGTAATTTAAATGAATACTATAAATCAAATAGCAAAACTCGTGCTTTAAATCACTTAACTTTGTTTAACTTAAATATGGTCAAGCCATTTTTTTTATTAACATAATTTGAGCCTCAACTTAAAGATCAAGACCAATTTTTTAGGATTGAATATTGGCTAAATCGTTCTGGGGTTGGCTAAAGTTTAGTGATTTATAAGCACTAAGCAAAGAACACTGAAATATCCATGTCAAAATTTGTACCAAAAATATTAATTGCACCTGTGATGAAATTGAACTGTTCAGATTACTTTTATTATATGGCATTCTTGAATGAATACGAAAAATTAAAATTTTATTTGAGGCTATAATAAATAGACTGCACAAATATTACGTGAGCCTTGCATAAGTTCCTTATATTCCTTCTTTTAAGGTCCCACACACATATGTAACCACTCAAATGGGCCGACATCATCACCTGTTCAGTAGAATGGCCAGTGTTAGTGGCAATACTCAGAGTCTCTACAGACAACAATTGATCTTGAGTCACGTGATTGTCAACCATATTAAATGAGCCTAGGTGTTTCCCGTCAGCGCCGTTGTGAAGTTCCATACCGCCATCTGCGTCACCGGATATAACGTAATAATCTGGCAGAATTCCAGACATATTCGGGTTTTGTAATAAGCGATTGTTTTTTATAGGAGGAAGGTAGACTTCAATACAAGTGATTTCTGGTCTAGGGATATGAGACGATTTAGCATCAGATTTTGGCTGTATAGGTTTGGAAGAATGGGAGTAAGTGGGGAATAAAGATAAGGAATAATTTGAAGGACCCCAAATTTTGAGAGCTCCGTCAGAATAACCTACTACAAAAGTATCGGAATTGGAATCAGGAAGGCATCTACAAGCACTGGCCCGGGCAAGTCTACCATCGGCGAATATCTGCTCATGCAGTAATTCTTGGTCTTTCGTGAGTAATTTTTTAAAAAAAAAATTAGATACAAAAATACATAAATAGAGGGGGTTACACCAAGATTTTAAAGCATATCATACCTACAGGCTAAGTGACTAAAATGATCAAAATTTTAAAAAAATTGAAGCTAGTTAGTATATTTTAATCTCGATTTCAGTTAAACATGATCCCTGATATATTAAAAATCAGAACAAAAATAAGTCATATATAAATAAAAAAATAAAAATGTAATTTTACCCAGGTCTTTTCCTTTCACTCCTTTATCCTTGGACAAATGGAAAGATAAGTCAAGCGAGTGCACAGGTCCAAATTCAGTTCCTATAATGAGTTTAGGATGCGAACGGGGCTCAGGTGATGTTCCCCATTGAACCCAAGTTATGTCAGTTTCAAGATCATGGGTATAAACTGGTTTTAGAGGCTTGTTTGCTTTAAATCTGGGATTTTTCCGGGAGAAATAACCATTATAAGTCTCCTCAGTAGCCTCATCATTCATCTTTTGATCTGTACCCAGCATTTGGGAGATTCCATCTCCTTCTATTGAGTTTAAATGATGTGTTAATTTGCAGTTATTATCTGTTTTACACAGAATAGATTCATTTAAAAAGGATTTGATAATGTGTTCCAAGAGATATACTATAATTTTGCCTGACATATCAACCGTGGCCAAATAAAGATGAGAGGAGTCAAATTTGGCAAAAATAACTGAATCAGTGTGGCCAGTTATGGGTATGTAAGGATTGTGTTGATTGTCAAATGAAAATTCCCATATGTAGGCCATATCATCTTCACCACCTAATAATTTGATAAGTGATAAAATCCTGAGTTTGTATGTTGGAAAAAATATGAAATATTACACAAGAGAAGGAAGAATCTCAAATAACCTTAGCCTTGAATTGTGCAAAACAACTGTGCATCTATCTAATATATTTAAATTAATCTAAATTTAGATACTCAAATTATTCTGTAAAAAATGTTTCAATAAATAAAAATCTAGAGTAATAAATGGTAATAGATTACCTCTTATTTGTTATCTCATATTACATAGATAATAATTAATATAGTCAGTAAAAATTTGCTATAAGCTATTTCAAAATTAACAATTTATTATTTAATATTCAATTATATTTTATTTATTAATTTTATTTAAAATTCATATAAAACCTGTGACTATAAGATGTTTTTCCATGTATAAATCAATAGAAAATATAGGTTTAGTGTGATTTTGAAATAATATTTCATTATCGCTTGTTAAATTTTTTTCTATGTTTATGTCGTCCAAATTTTCCTCTAAGGAACAAACATCAGCATCCTTATCTTCATCATTCAGTTCAATAATTTCCTCACAATCTTTTAAATCAATCATATTTTCATCTTCATCACTGCTGCTGTGACTATTTGCAGATTCCATCTATTTATTTTGTTTTTGCCTTTCAATGTCTTTTATAACACCTTGTCTTAATTTCTAAAAAAAAAAATTAAATAACAACTATTTAAAAAATTATACCATAAAATCATTCTTTTGCATAGTATGCACTGAATAAATTAAGGATATAGTATATACTGAGGTAACAAATAAAAATATTAATGATTTATAGTCTTGTCCTTCACCAGGGAAACACAATTAAGTGGCTTCCACCACCCAAAAGAGAGCGTATCCAGTGCAATGAATTTGCATCCACTGTTTGACAGTAAATTTACCCTACTGTTAGGGCCCATTTTAAGGAGGGATGATTGTATAGATGAGCCAAGATCCACTAATTGACAGTAATTTACCCTACTGCCTATTTTAGAGAATGAGTAGAAAAAATTAGTAGATATTATATAATTAATATATATATATTTATTTTATTTTTTATATATATTTTTAAAAAATTATTTAGATTCAAATGGCTTGGTTTAGTCATTCTTTCTAGCTTGTCTTGAGAGATATTAATGAGAAAAAGACATTTGACTTTATTTTTTAAAAAAATATGTAAGGCTTGACCATACCAGGATTTAATATGATTACCATATTCTTTTTTTTATTATTTTTTGTTTTATACCTTAAAGCTTTTGTAATGGTGCTTACATGGTTATGTCTTATGGTATGACATAGTAGTTCTATTTTTCTAAAATTTAATCATTTATTTAATAGAAGTATATGGCAGAAGTGCCAAAGATTTAAGTTAGAGATTATGATAGGATATTTAATGTTTAGATTATTTTCTCATTTATTGATAAAAACTTGAGATTTGTTTAGATTTTATTGACAAGTGGGGAAATTAGCTTGTCTTGGACGTCAGAATCGATAGGAATTAGTAGGGTATTAAAAGTCTGTTGAGGGGAATTGCTGTATATAATGTTATTAGAAGTAGGAATTTAATTTTAAATATAAGATTTTAAATGATTCTTTACTATGAAAAGTTTACTGATAAAATTTATAATACAAGATCTCTTTTTATAACCAAAATAAATCAATTATGTAAAAAAATACATCATAATAAAATCACGTTATCCAATTTACAACATGTAGTTTAGCACAATACCATATCATTACTAAAAAACGATCGCCTTATATCGTTAAAAAGAATATATAGTTACAAACATGTAACAGATTTGATTTACCCATGTTTCAATACCATAAGTTAGAGATGATAATTATAAATTTTGAATATATGTTATTTTGAAATGATATTTGAGTTCTATAATTTATTAGATTGAGTACTAATTTTTTTTTGATTTATAGAAAATTTAGAGGTTATATTTATTTTGGTTTTGCCTTTGTTATCTATTATGACGCCAAGATATTTATGAGAATTCGTAGAGTATATTATATTATTATTGAAGAAAATTTTTTGGTGAATATTAGAATTAGAATTTTTGTTTTTTTTGAGATAGATGCTAGAATATTTTGGATATTGTTGATGTCTTCAGCGAGAATACATATGTCGTCTGCATAACATAACCAGTCAACATTTTGTAAATCACTGGTATTTATTACTGATTAATAGATTAAAAATGGGAGGTGATGAGATGCAACCTTATTTTTTACCCCATTTTTGTTAGAAAAGAGGAGATATTAATCTGTTATGTTTAATATTAATTAAGCTATTTTCATACATGTTCATAATGATTTTAATAAGGTGAGTATTAATTTTATATTTGAAAAGGGGGTCCCAATTGAATGTGATACACTGAATCAAAAGCTTTTGAGATGTCAATAATGACATATAAATTAAATTTATGAAGTGCAGCTTTTTCAAGTCTAATTTTAAGAGCTGTAATTAATTCAATTGCATTTCTTCCTTTACGGAAAGATGCAATATTGTTGTTTGTATTATTATCAATATTTTTTATTATTTTGTATAGAAAGTTAGTTAAAATTTTATAGATATATGTTGTGAGGGTTATGTCTATGTAGTCATTTGGTAATTTTGGGGAAATAATCTTTGGTAGGTTAAAGATAGAAGATTTGTATATTTCTGGCGGTACTTGCAAATTTTGTTTGGTATGGGAATAGAATTTTTGAGGTTGTATAGAAGGGAATTTTTTTAGGATTTAGTTTAATATGTTATAAGACTAGATTTGTGAATTTTTAATTTATTTATAGCATTTATGATGTCTTTGTGTTTTAGAGGGAAGTGAGGATGTGTATGAAGTTGTTGGGAGGTTTAAGATTTTGTGAATGGAATTTTACAATTAAAAATATTTCTGTAGTGGTCGATGAATATGCTAAGTCTGGGTTATTGTAAGGCGGGAAATTTTAAGACTATTAATTTTTTTTATCATTAGATGATGTGAGTAAATTTAAAGATTTTTGTAATGATCATTTTTAATTTTAAAGTTTTATATTTGGTTGATTTTAATGTAAATATATTTTCTCTTGTCTTTTCCAATAGATTATTTATTTTTATTAAAAAGATTTTTTAAATATTTATCTTATCCTTTTCTAAAAATTTTTATTAGGTAGTAATTTAATAAAATTGGATGTGGCTGGGCTGATCTAGTCTACATATTGAGTTTTAATATTTTTGAATTGGCAGCTTTTATTATTGAATTAGAAATATTGAGCCACGAATCATTATATTTGATTTGTTTTAAATACTTATAAAAGTTGATAGTTGGAGAGGGAAAGTTTAAATTGTTTATTATATTGTATTTTTTTGAAGGTTGAAAGTGTATGATTTTTGGATTTATTAAGGTTGTAAAATAATTTAGGTTTAATAATTAAAGTAAGAGTTTATGGGTCAGTGATCCTGATCAGACAAAAAGTCGATTAATTAAAATATTAAAAACTCATTTTTTACTTGTAAATAAAAATAAAAAATCCATTTGACTTTTTTATATAAAGAATTATGTTTAAATAAAAGTGTGTAATAATTGTTGTCTTTTTTGCTTAAAAAATGAATTTATGATTTTTAAATTAAAAAATTACAAATTTTGATGATTTTTTGCATTTAAACTTCTATAATGTAAAAATCATAAATTCATTCTTTAAGCAAAAAAAAGAAAAATTGTTACACTTTTTTTAAAACATAACTCATTGTATAAAAATCAATTAGATTTTTTTTTATTTACATGTATAAAAATGAGTTTTTATATTAAAAAACATTAATCATTTTATCTCCTCCCATTTTTAACTTACTAATCAGCTATATTATAGGTACCTGTAAGTTAGAAAACGTCAACTGGTTATGCTATGAAGATGACATATGCATCATCACAGAAGATTTTAATAACATCCATAATATTCTAACATCTATCTCAAAAAAACGAAAACATGAATCTAAAAATAAACTTAAAAATTTTTTTTTTCTATCAAACTCTAAAATGCACCATTAAATTTCCCCTTCAATAATAATATAATATACTTTATATCATAAATATCTTGGCCTCATAATAGATAAAAAACCAAAACAAATATAACCTCTAAATTATCTATAATCAAAAATACTCACTCAATAAATTATGGAACTCAAATATCATTTTAAGTAATTTCAAAATACATATATAATTTTTAATTATCACTTTTAAATTATGGCATTGAAACCTGGAAAAATAACAAATCAAATCTATAAATCTCAAGTTTTTATCAATAAATATCTTAGAAATATTCTAAACATTAAATATCCTATCATAATCTCTAGCATAAATCTTTGACAACTCTGTCATATATTTCCATTAAATAAATTATTAAATTTTAGAAAATAGAACTATTATGTCATATCTTAAGAGATAACCATGTAAGCACCATTACAAAAGCTTTAAGGTATAAAACAAAAAAATAATAAAAAAGAATATTATAACCATAATAAATAATGGTGTCAAGCCTTACATATTTAAAAAAAATATGTCAATTGTCTTTTTCTCATTAATATTTCTCAAGAGAAGCTGCAATTAAAAGGATGGCTAAACCAAACCATTCTAATCTAACTAATTTTTTTAAAAAATATATATATAAAAAATGTATATATATAATATTTTCTAATTTTTTCTACTCATTCTCTAAAAAAGGTACCATTTTAAGTCCTCTTAAATTAAACTTGCCTGTCAGTAGAGTAAGTTAGTGGATCCAGGCTTATCCAAAAGATGTACTGTAAGTTCTCTTAAATTAAACAGACCCTAACAGTAGTGTAGATTACTATCTAGTGGATCTTGGTTTATCCACAAGAGGTACTATCATCCCTCTTTAATTAAATGGGCCCTTACAGTAGGGTAAATTGACTGCCAAACAGTGGATACAAATTCACTGCACTGGATACCCCCTCTTTTGGGTGGTGGAAGCCACTTAATTGTGTTTCCCCAACAAATATAATTATTTAAAATATTTACACAAATCCTTTATGGGATAAAACGGTTGAAATTTATATATTATAATAATATTACAACATGTATTTAGCTTCTCCCAAGATGGATTGCCCCAAATTTAATGGCATTTATTGGGTTTTTGCTTACAGTTGTCAATATTATTTTACTTACTATATATGATTATCAATTTTATAAAAAATACCTTTAAATCATTCTTTTGTGTAGTATGCACCGAATAAATTATGGATATAGTAAACACTGAGGTAATAAATAAAAATATTAATGATTTATTAAACATAACATTTTAATGTATTTAAAATTTAGCTATAATTAGAAGAGTGACAACCGTCATATATAATTGCTAATGAATGTATAAACATTTTTTTAAATGTGAATCATTAAAAAAATTTTTTTATATTTAACCATTATAACAAATAGCGCTCTATTATAATTTTTTAGTCATTTGAACTCATCCACAGTTTTATTTTACTAAAGATAAAAGCGTTAAATATTTTCAGGAAAGATATATACCCCCCTTTAAACCATTGAACATGCTATAATTTCTCAATAATCTCTGACAAAGATGGTGACAATAATTTCTCTCTTATATTTTTGCTATCTTGGGAATTTATATTCTGATAGCAAAAATCCGTGACAGTCCCAACAAAACCATCTTTATACTTGGTAAATACTACAGAGAGATATTTTTAGACTGTTTGAAATTGCACTAACGTTTCGCCCATAAATTTAATTATGTTATTAATTAAATTACTATATAACTAAGTTTTTAATAATTAAATCAAGGAACATTGGTTTTACCTTTATATATGCAAATACTATATTTTAATATTTCATTTCAAATTATTTTATTATATAAGATGCTATAATCATTTAATACAATGTTTTCCAAAAATCAACCTCCACACCTGAAAATTAGATAACGCATATTTCTAGTTTATGATTAAGTATTGGGCTACACATTGATATTAAATTTGTTGGGTTAGGCAAAATTCTTAACTCTTTTTAAAATCATGGCCAATCATGTTTCTTTCCGTTTAAGATTCTTTTTAAAAAAATTTATTTTTATATAATTCTTATTAATTAATAAAAATATTTAATTCCTAGACATTACCAATAATTTTATACGTATAATAAATCCCGCCAAAGTAATATTTGTGAGTGTGTTAATAGGTTATTTTTATTCCATATTTTGTAAAAACATAACATATAGAAATTATATATTTTTTTTCATAATAAGGTATTTAAAATAATTTATTTATATCCGAAAATTATGATTATTATCTCTCTATACCTTTTTCAACTTTTGTTAGAATTTGAAAATTTTGATATGAAGGTAATTCAGTAAACTTATAAATAAATTTTCTTGTTCCTTTCGCTTTACCTAAAAAATTAATACTTGATACTTTCTCCTTATAATATAATACATTCTAAAATGGATATGCCTTTCTATACGAAAAATAAAAGTTGATTGTTCTATCCTTATACTCTTGTACTAAATTTAATTAAAGGTTGGTTACTCAATTCTTATTACAATAAAAACATTCTCCTTACAAACCTATTAGTTACCTTTTCTCAATAAATCATAAACTTAAATTTTAACCTTAATTTTAATAAGTAAATTTGCTATCGCTACCACTATCTTACAAAAAAAAGTAGCAAGCTAATTACATTATTTTTTCAAAAGGGAACTAACTATTAGCTATTTTTTTATGCTCCTTTAACATTTTTTTTTAAAATATTTTTTTTACTTATCTCTAATAATAAAAATATTGGTATTGACTTTAATTTCAAATATATATATAATTTAGTTATTTTTTATTGCATTTCAAAATTAAAACATTTCTATAATGTCATCCCCAAGAGTGTTGTTAAACGGCTCGTTATAAGCCGAATTTTAAAACCGGCTAACACAATATTTTAGCCAGGAAAATATTGTCTAAGCCTCGAGATTTGGTTAATAGATGTTCAAACTTTTGTACCACTTATGAGCAAAATCTCAAGGCTAGCATAATATTTTTCCTAATAAAATATTGAGTTAGCAGTCTTTATAAATCGGCTCAAAATGAGCCATTTAACAACATAGGGGTCAGAAGGTATAAGCTTTGCCGTAATAAATAATAGTTCTACACTATTACTGGAGTGTAGTGCAATATGTATATTTTATACATTTTTATGCAAGAAAAATCATCAAAAATATTCATTTAAATATATTTAGATGTAAAAAATGCTTCTAGAGGATTTTCATTGGTAATATTTATTTTAAAAAAAATCTATAGTAAGTTACGTTTTTGATCTGGCTAAGGTATCCTGGTTTGATAAAGTATTTTCTAACGTTAACATTAGTCAATTAAATTGCCTTTTGGATTCGATCAAATTAATATAAAGCCAATTCAACTTCTAGGGTGTACAATAGCAGCTATGTTTAAAATCCAGATAATAAAGATAGTAAGTTATAAAATATTATCATTAAATAGATGAGTCTGATGATAAAATAAGATGATAATATTATTTAGTTATTATAATTTTAAATTTATAATACAATTTTTAAATAATATCTTATGACCAGTTGAAATATAGTATTGACTGGGCCTGAAAATCAACTTTCACATAAACTCATCTAGCCAAAAAACTATTATAGATAGAGCCTTAAAGTAAATTTTATTTTAAAGATTAAAGTTTGGGTTACAGAAACAAACCTGATATCAGGGTTTAGCTTAAAATTCAAAAATCTTCGAAGGCCTTGCCTTTTTGAAGAAAATAAAATAAAAATGAATTTTGTAAAAAATCATCTACGATTTTATATAAATAATTTGGTATTTTTATAATATAAAAAAATCTTTTATTTTTCCTTCTACTTATTAAAACAATGATTATACATTTTATTTTATGCTGTTTTATTAAAAAAACATTGGGTAATTATTTTTTATTATTTTTTTAAATCTAAAAAAAAAAATTAAATGGAAAAAAAAATATTTTTGAGCATGCTCAAAATTTATTTTGCTTGGAAATCTTCAATTTTATTGATTATTGAAGATATTTTTGCTCAAAAATATGAGCGAATATAAAAAGAATAAAACTTTATATAGTTATCAGCAATTTCTACTTAGGTTCCATGCATCTTCACATCTTCCTTTTTCCAAAACCACTTTATATATATGTCTCTGTTATACACTTCCTCATATTTCAAAAATAGATTACTGGCCTACCTCACCGGAGTGGGTTGTCCAAAAAACTTGTAGAGGGCTCCGCATATTTTTTTCATTAAATATTCGTTAACACCCAGTCAAATGGAAATAAGGGATACCCAAGGTAGCTTCTGTTGTATCCACAAAATTAAAGGGCATGCATATACACTTTAAATTTACGTACATGTAATAGCCGACTTTGCATATCAAACTTTCCCTACTATTCTAGGGAGAAATTATGATAACCTAATTCTAACAGGATAATTAATGTATGTATGGTGGAGAAATGTAAAGGATATCAATAAATTAAAGATAATAAATCAAAATTTAATATAATATATTTGCTTTGGAGATATAATTTGGCAAGCGATAAGATTTTTTGGAATTCTCACATACACACCTTAAGTTTTTGTTATATTAAAAAAAATATATCCACACTATAAAATACTCTTTTAAAAATAAATAAGTGAGCAAAATATTTATATCATTGAAAAACAAATATGTCAAAAAATCTTGATAATAATGATTAAGAAAAAAAATATAAGAAAAAATCTTGAGACCCTCATTATGGTATTTTGCTAATTTTGCCATCAAACTTTGTATATCTTAGTTTAGAAATTTGCTTTTTTGAAAGAAGAATATTTCTAAGTGGGAGAATTTACCCCATGTGTCATATGTGTATTATAAAGACAGAAATTGAATACATTTTAAATACAGTCGTTTAAAATTGGACAACACTTTTTGTTTGTTTGTTACCACAAGTGTCTGATACCCCGGAAAAAACAATGGGTTGTTTAGATGTATTTATTAATTTTTAAGTTTTATACTCTCGGGATGGAATTGGTAGAAAAAGATCTGGCAAAACAATCTATTATAATCAAAAGTAAGGGGCTTAGAGGTTAGGGTCATCGCATTAGGTCTGATGAGGTCAGAGGGTTCAGACAGTGTAGAAAGAATATTTGTGGCCTCTAAGTTGCTAAATGATAGAATGCCTGGCTAGTCTGCCCCTAAACAACAATATAGAAGATGGTGGCATAGGCTGTTAAAATGGGTATATCACATTTCATCGATGTTACAATTTTTTCTGCAACCTAATCGAATATCATTGTCGATTCTAAGCGCTTTGTTGGTATGTAAGAGACCTAGATTAATAAACTATATTTAAAATATATAATATCTTAAAATAAATTTGGTGTCAATATAAAATAAAGTGATTAGAAATAAAAATATATAACTAAGTTTAATAATTCGCCACCTGCACTGTTTAAACATTATGCCAATAAATTTCAGATATCATGACAATATATAAAATAACTAATCTAAAAGAAATGCAGATTCATTTAAAGATATAATGCTTAAATGATTCATATCTGAAATAAGGAAGGGGCATTAACCTTCTCTTGATAAACCGTATATATGAAATGACATTCGAATAATTCAATAAATTCAATTATTTTTTAATATATTATAATAATAGCGAGAAAGCTTATTTAGAATTAATCCTAGCTTGTAAATTTTGACACTAATAAATGCAAATTTTTCGATAAATTTAAAAGAAAAAGATTTTTATCTACTTCTATTTTACTAAATGAAATTTAATTTATTTCCATGATAATCATATTAATTATTTATTACTTTGTTTCATCGATAAATTCTGATAACATTTATTACAATTAACATATATCGCATAATCCTGTTAATTAATTTTTTTTCATAAAAACTTATACAGAGCCAAATTTTATGTTTGTAGGCGTGAGAGTAAGTCATTATTAATATATATTGCATCAAAAATAAAATCAATTATTTAAGTGCGTTTAAATTTCTCCTGTGAAAAAGAAGGTATCTATTGAATTAAAAACATATATTATTATTTTAATTATTCTTTATTTATAGATGGCAACATTATATACATCAAGGAAGGTTTATCAAATAGATATACAATCTGAATTTACTATTAGTCATCTTCTTATAATGAAGCTACGAATCTATAAATAAATTAAAATTGTAAAATATAATTTCGAAGCTAACTTTTTGTTTGATTAAAAAGTATTAGTGTCTGTTAATTTTGGGCTCTATTTATTGATTAATTTGTGAGGGATTTTGCCCATTTCTATAAT